GAACAGCCCAAGGAGTAAAGCCCAATTGAAGGATCCCCAAATCGGATAGCCCAAAGAACGAAGTCCAATCGAACGAATCAAGGTGAAGGCCCAAATAAGGGGCCCAAGAATGCGGTAACGCCATCGCCCAAGTTTGTAAGTCGCCCAGAATCTGAACGAATGGAGTGTCATACGGTCGCCCAGAGCTGTTATTCTACTTTCGCCCAAACCTTCAAGTCGCCCAAGGTATCAACAAATATAATGCATCGTGGTTATCAAGGAATGCAGTTATCAAGGCAGTTGTTAAAGTAGTCTTATCACGATCCACGACTCAAGGAATTCAATCGAAAGCAGTTGAACGATGAAAGATAATGGCAGCAGTTAAAAGGCAGTTTCATGACAAAATGGCCACTACAAAGAAAGTGGGTAGTTATAGGACGATCAAGTAGTTTTTAGGGTAGTTAATCACAAAGAGATCGTCTATGAGTTATAAAAGGGAGAAAGGACGCAGAAGCAAAAGACCGAATCCAAAACTTTCGAACAGAGAATATGTAATTTTCATTTCCTTAGTTTTTAGATTTAAACATTTTTCTTTCTGTAACTCGTGTGCTTGCGCCCCTTGGAGGCACGTTATTTTTCATTCCCAATTGTAAAGTTCATCGCCAATAAAAGAACACCCCTTTTTGGGACTTTGTCTCAAGAGGTTTCGTCCCTTACATAATCGTCTGATCCTTTTTAATTGTTAGCGACTTAACCCACGCGAAACAACTTCCTAATTCAAATTTGAATTTTATTTCAATTTATTTACTTTCTACATTTAATTTGATTTATTCGTCATCAACTCAGCATCTATCAATGAGGTGACAAATAAAACTGTACAATTAGCAAAATTCATTTAACAACATTGATAATGATGTAATTATACAACATTTTCAAAGTATCAAAATGTATAGACTACAATTGTAGTAGTGTATTGACTTGTTTTAATTAATATAATGTTATTTAAATAAACTACATTTTAATTTTTAATTCCACGATCCAAAAAATCTGGTTTTGTCAACCCAGATTGACAACCCAAAAAGAAGAAGACGAAGAAGAAGAAGAAGAAGAAGAAGAAGAAGACTGACAACCCAGATTGAACCAGTGTTTTGAACTCCAAAAAGAACTGAAAATAAGTTGTCAAAGATTTGACCAAACATCACCCATAAGAAATCCAGTGTTCCATGGAAAGGATCATACATAAGAAAACATGTCGAGGCTTGTCTAAACTAGAAGCAGAGCCTTGCTCGGGAACAAATCAAAACTTTAATTTGTTCAAGGACTACAATTTAATTATGTAACCATATATGTGGTGGGCTACATTTTTGTATACACTGTGTGGGAATTCAGAAAGTGTCGGACAGGAAAGTGTGTGTGTGTGTGTGTTTTTAAAAAAAAAAAAAAAAACTGTTCAATCATGTGTCATCACGTGAAATGATATTAAAAGTGATGTAAAAGAAAATGTACATGTAGCATGATTGATTTTAATACGCACGCTCGGTGATTGTATGATTAGTAAGGAAGCTAACCCATCTGAGATTTAACCACGATATTGTAGGGGATTGCTCAATGGTTTGGAATAGTAATTTACTCGATAACTAATGTTAAAGCAGTAATTTTATTTTTAGTTCAGGTCTGGTCCCCTCTTAGTACTATTTTTTTCTTTTATTAATAAAACATGACAACAAGCAGAATTGATTTACCAAAACAAAAAAATTGGACTTCAAAGGATGATTGCCATAGAATTGGTCAAATATTTTTAGATTTGATAATTGAAATTTGGCCTCCCAATTGACATATCAATCTTATTGTCTTTCATTATTCACAACCTTAGAGCTTAGGAATGAAAACTGTACCAAATTGGACGATTTTTAGACTATTTTCAAATCAAACAAAATTTTCAAACCAAACTACTTTTTACGGTTTGATTTACCTTCAAATCATAATTTTAATGATATAAAAATAACATCTTTCAAATGAGTAAAAAATAAATATGTTAGTCCCGATATCACTATAACAATTAGTTCCTGTTTGGTGTAGCTTAAAATCAAGTTTTTAGTAGATTTTGATAAAAGTTGATAAAATTTGTGGTAGAAAAATTGATAAAATCAATTATAGACTTTGACATAATTTTTTGTCAAATTTTTAAGCCATACAAACATGGGTTTAGATTTAACCATTTAAATATAATCGTTACATTAATACTAATATATCTGTTTTAATATATTCATTTTTTAAATAAAAAAAGTATTACCATAATTAAATTAATATTTTCCTAAAGAGACAATAGAAGAATAATAGTAGAATAAGTAATTTACTTTAAAAAAATTTGGTTAAAGGTTCGATTTGATTTCAAACGATTTTTAACATTCTTAACTTTAATTGAACCATTTCAATGGTTTGGTTTGGTATAAAATATCGAAACCTAAATCCCGTCAATCCCAACCAATGATTTCGATTCAATTTGACGAGTTAACGGTTTTTGAAAAAGCTTAGGCTATGGACCTCTTAGTCCATGAACTCTAAATCTTTAAAATAAATAACAATTGACTTTTTCCTCCATAACTTCTAACAAATTGGATGCCTTGAATAGATGCATTTAAGGACAAGATTGCAAGTTTTGAAATCAACATAAAAGTACAGAAGAACAAAATAATACTGTAGCAGTGTCTACATGAGATTCTTTAAAGTTCAACCGAAGAACTTTGGATCATAGCCATTGCTAGAGGTAGCAAGAATATAATAAGCCACAATATGACCAATGGAGCCCCACGCCAGTACATCTACGATGTTAAATCCAACAGGGTCATTAGATTTAAGAAGGCTCACGTATTCCTTGGCCCTCACGTCACCTGCTTCGAAGTGTGAAACTCCATTCTGTTCAGGCACCTGTTTCGCCACGTTTTCCCTCTGGAAGTTGAAGAACACAAACCTGCCCAAGAAGAGGGAGAGTCCAGTGCTCAAGCTGATGACCAGTGAAGGGTTGAGCTCGGCCTTGATTTTAAGGCTGCTGGGCCTGGTCTTGGGGCGGCAGAAGGTAGCGGAGATGGGTTTTTGGAATTGGAAGGTGGTGTCAGTGGGCTTGTTGAGGGGTCTAAGACCTTGGAAAGTTGGTGTGGAGAACAGAGTGGAGGCCATTGTGGTGATGGTGGTGGTGGTGGGAGGAGGGGGATTTGGGTATTATGTTGATAAATGGAGTGTGGATATTATTAATCAAAGATGAGAGGTTTATAATTTGAGAAGAAAGAAATGAATTTTGTGAAGAGGTGAATGAATGAAAGAAAGATTTTGTTGACTGAGTTGGCTTCATGTTATTGGTCCTCTTTGGATCAGAGATCCTTGGCCGATCTTCATGATAACAAGGGTAAGTTTGAATTATACAAACATGTTCAAAAATAACTTGATAAAACAAAATTAAACTTTTGTACGTTTTCCTTTTTCTTTCTCCAAGTCTTTTACTATGGGTTAATTTCAAGAACTTTTTCAGTTTATCCTAAAAAATTTCCATCTTGACGAAAGACATCTCAAGAAAAACAAAATTTTCTGTGTTTTATTCTTCTATTTCAGCAAAATAATTTCATCCCTATATTTCGAGTTTCAACAGTCTCAGGAATCATATGTACTGACATAGGGAATAAGAGTGAGATTCAAAATGAATTCGGTAAAAAATGAATTTTAAAGAATGATGCTTAATGGATCATAGCCATTGCTAGAAGTAGCAAGAATATAATAAGCCACAATATGACCAATGGAGCCCCACGCCAGTACATCTACGATGTTAAATCCAACAGGGTCATTAGATTTAAGAAGGCTCACGTATTCCTTGGCCCTCACGTCACCTGCTTCGAAGTGTGAAACTCCATTCTGTTCAGGCACCTGTTTCGCCACGTTTTCCCTCTGGAAGTTGAAGAACACAAACCTGCCCAAGAAGAGGGAGAGTCCAGTGCTGAAGCTGATGACCAGTGAAGGGTTGAGCTCAGCCTTGATTTTAAGGCTGCTGGGCCTGGTCTTGGGGCGGCAGAAGGTAGCGGAGATGGGTTTTTGGAATTGGAAGGTGGTGTCAGTGGGCTTGTTGAGGGGTCTAAGACCTTGGAAAGTTGGTGTGGAGAACAGAGTGGAGGCCATTGTGGTGATGGTGGTGGTGGTGGGAGGAGGGGGATTTGGGTATTATGTTGATAAATGGAGTGTGGATATTATTAATCAAAGATGAGAGGTTTATAATTTGAGAAGAAAGAAATGAATTTTGTGAAGAGGTGAATGAATGAAAGAAAGATTTTGTTGACTGAGTTGGCTTCATGTTATTGGTCCTCTTTGGATCAGAGATCCTTGGCCGATCTTCATGATAACAAGGGTAAGTTTGAATTATACAAACATGTTCAAAAATAACTTGATAAAACAAAATTAAACTTTTGTACGTTTTTCCTTTTTCTTTCTCCAAGTCTTTTACTCTGGGTTAATTTCAAGAACTTTTTCAGTTTATCCTAAAAAATTTCCATCTTGACGAAAGACATCTCAAGAAAAACAAAATTTTCTGTGTTTTATTCTTCTATTTCAGCAAAATAATTTCATCCCTATATTTCGAGTTTCAACAGTCTCAGGAATCATATGTACTGACATAGGGAATAAGAGTGAGATTCAAAATGAATTCGGTAAAAAATGAATTTTAAAGAATGATGCTTAAACGGGACATAATATCATTGGACTTAAATGACAAAATTCCTGAAAAAGACTTGCTCTTCTCTCACGGTGATAATGTAAATCATAATCGAAATGTCACGAACAACTACGATAAACATTCCCAGATACATAAAAACGGGAAACCTAAACTAGTTCACAAGCCGGCCAATGCGTCAAGATCAGCAGCTCTTCTATTTATTATTCACAAAATCCGGTACTCAACTAGCTTTCTGTACAATCACCTAACTGAAAGAAAACATTTTTATACTTCATTGCACAATGGAAGGAATCCAGATCCAAACACTCTGCTGAAGACTGCACTACAAGTTTAAACTTTTTAACATAAAAAGAGCCACGACCAGACACTTATTTTGCAGATTACACAGCTGAATTAGACAATGGAGTCGAGGTACGAGTACTCCCGACGTCGGCCAAACTCAAGGAGACTACTGTACGTACGATCCCACACACCAATGAAAAGAGACTCTGTGTCTGGACTAAATGACATGCCAGAAATCTCACCAAAGAAATCAATTTCCTGCTCCTTCTCATACCCACTTTCAACATCAAAAACATGGACAAAATCTGCAGGCTCTGCCATTGCCATGAATCTACCATCAGATGTGTAGCGGATGGAACGAATGGCTCCAAGGTTGCCTTTCAACGCAGCGACCGACTTGGATAGGTTTCTCACGTCCCAAATTCGGCAAGTTTTATCCTGGTTCCCAGTGGCAAGGGTCAAGCCATCAGGGTGCCATGCTGATGCAAATGAAAAGTCCAAATGCCCACGCAAGGATGCAACAGTCTGGAAAACAGATATCAAATCTTAGTATAAATACTCAAATGCTCCCAATATTTTCGAGATTCACAAAGGAAATACTAGAGTACCTTCCCACTCCTGGGATCCACCAGTAAACCATCTGGGTGATCTCCAACAATTATGAGAAGCTTAGAATCGGGACTCAGAGAAGTATGCTACCATCAGAAACGATAAATCCAGAGAATATGTCATTAGATTATACTACATAGGACTAAGTTGACTACCATAAGTACATCCACCCCAACCCATCAACCCTAACTAAAGAAATTTAAAACAGAAAAAACTCTCTCGAGTTTAATAGCTTCAAATTTCTTTGCACACTGATATTGTGTTGGACAACCATAAAACTACAAACTCTTCAAATATATTAAATTAAGTGATATGCAAAGACAGAGCAGTGTGCAGGGAGGGTTAGGGGGCCATGACACTACAGATAAATCTTCTGGCATTATTTATTTCAATTAGATCCTAAAATTCCTCACTCGTTGATTTTTCAGGCAAATGTTTTATTCTACATGACTTTTGCCCAATCAAGTGTTCACTTAAATCCCAACTCTGCAAAAGACTTGGATGGATACCAATGTCAATATTACCAAACTTTGCTACTTGGGGATTTTTATAGAACAACAAGGTTAATCAAAGTAACCAACTAAAATATAAAACAGAAGATCCCTCAATACACAAGTCAAGACCAAGATAAAAGTGACGTCATAGAGACTAGGTATGGAGGGACATAGGAGGAGAGAGAAAGGTCCTCACATTTACTGGCCAAGGAAAAAGAAAATGTTTGGACTGTTGGAATTTTTCCATATCAAAATCTCGAACTCCGCAATCATTGTTTGATGCTATAAAATGAAGTGCACCACTGAAAAGAGAAGATGAAGATCAGGAGTCAGGAAAGCCCAGAAAAAAATCTTACATCCACAAGTTTCAAGGAATAGCAGATACCTTCTTGACGTATATATTTCAACGGCATTAGTGATGGCATTGTCATCGTAGGTAGTCCGTGTGCAATAACTCACTCCGGGTCTATCTAAAAACTGCAATCAAATAAGTGGAAACGAATACCTCAATAATAGGGCTCAAGTTACCTTGACACGTAGTATTTGTGTTGGAATAGATCGAAAAGCAAAAGAACAGCCTAACAACTCAAAAATAAGATTCTTTCTTATATTAACCAAACTAGTTTTTTCAGACTGTACATGTTAAAGCCATTAAGAAACTGGTGACAAGGAGAGCGAAAGTGGTAGATTTGCAACAGAAACAAAATCACTAGTTTGTTTTGTACTTGCTCTTAATTGATATTACTAAGCTCCTGTTTCAGCTCCAGTTTAATTTAATGAATTTTTCTCTTTCTTCATTTTCAAAGACACATTCTTCAATAAAATAATATTACACATAAACCCAAAACCTTTTTTTTACTTTTTAACTACACATTCTCCAAAAAGTTACTATTCCAAAATACATTTAGTTCCAAAAATCTCATAAAAATGGAGCCCAAACAATGGCTAAAATCAGTGTCAACCACTAAATGTGTAAGCACTTTGCATTGTATGACTTTTAAATTGAAATGCAAGAAAAATTAGACAGATAAAAAATGAAGTGTTTTATATAAATAACGGTAATCAAGCAACTACCACAAATGAAGATACTGCAATACCGTTATATAACTTTAAGAAAAAATAATAACAACAACAACAACAACAATTAATAATATAAACCTTGCAGATAAGTTCTCCCTGAAATCCTCCAGCAACCAGAAGCTTATTCTTCACTGCTAGTGTGCTGACCTGGGTTTGTGTAAATCCTTCCAACAGGCTTCCAGGATGTTTCTGGAAAAGAGATAACTTGCAGTCTTGTATTGGACCGGTTGTAGCTCCAATATTGGAGGAGAGAGAATGGCGCAACTAGAAATATACAACATATGAGAACAAAATACTCACCTCAGAAGGTGCTATATGTCCTGACGCATTAAAAACTTCAGACTTTGTGCAAGTCAAGGACGACCAATGCAAAACTGAGAAACGTGACACGAGGTAAACATCGTGCTTTGTTGCAGCCCATACCAAATTTCTCAACTGCATCATCAAACAATGAACGTGAGTTTCAGTATAGAGCTTCTAAAGCAAACATGAGCTACATAAAATTAGAACAAAGAAGATGAAATAACAATAAAGGAAACAAACAAACAGAATAGTGATCCATGTTCCCCTGCCAGCTCGTTCTTTCCCCTACACCTTTTGCTAACCATTTTTTCTTCTTTCTATAATGGGCTTTGTTATTGAGGCTCATAGAAAGGAGCAAATTTACAATGACCTCATTAAATGTTAAAAAACACAAACCAAAGCAAAACAGGATATATGAATGTGGAACAAAATCCTATGAGTTCAACTGTTCACGCACATTACATAATGGTGACTATTCATCATCTTCGCTAATTTGTGTTTCCTCTGCTTTAATAGCCTGCTCCTTGTGGGAAATCAAGACAGTTGTTATCTGATAGATAATAACGTCCTTAAGAGTATGAGTCATCTTTCATACCCAAGTTATCATAAACGTAAACACCTTAAAATCTCATTTGGACCGCTTAAAAGAAGAATTTTTCAAATCTCAACAGTTTTCCTTTCAAGTAATCTAATTACAACAGCATATGATCACCTTGGAAGTAATTGATACAATATCTAAAACTAAACAAATAACTCAAAAGGAACACCACCATTCAAGACATGATAAATATAATCAACAGTAAAGAGTTATATCAGCAGATGATGATGATGATATCAATTACAGAAATGAAATATAGCATTAAGCACTCATTGTTCTACAGAAATGAGATAGAAAAGACTTCCTGCTGATTGTTTAAAATCGAACTTAACAGATGCAGATAACAGAAAAACGTAGGAAGAAAGTAAAATTTATCTAGTTGATGAAGTAACTTCAAGGATAAAAACTTGTCACTGACCTGGAAATGCAAGATTGTTGATTTCACAGATCTTGAATTGCGTCTGAATTCGTAATACAATCCCCTTTTATCTGTAGTTTTGCATTGCTATTCAGAAGTGGAAAAGGCATACAACGTGAGTGAAAAAATAATTGAAATAATAATTCACTAAACCATTTTTTTCCCCAGAGGAAACGAGAAGGGACTTTTCTAAAAGCAAAACAGAACAGTTCACCTTCTCTGATCCTTCTCCCGATAGAGGAATGTTTTCATAATTTTTGTACTGTTCTATTCTAGTCTGCCTATACTTCTCCCTTGTTATGCTGAGCCTGTCCCATCGAATCCCTTGAATATCTTTGCCTCTCCTAGCTTGAGCGGCTGTAGTATCATGAATTCTATCATTCTGTACAACAAAGGAAAAATGACAGACAGCAGCAAGGATAGATGAAGGTTGAAGATTTCTAGAGAAAATCATGAAAAATAATATTTCACTTAGATAACGCTTTACGGACATAAACAATTGAGCTCACAATATAGGTTTTGAACACACCATGTAATCATACTCATCTGCATCGGAATCTGAGGCACCAGCATCTCGACCATGAAACTCATCACCCATGTCATCATCTACATCTTCCATTTCCTGTTCATTGTCCATGTAATCATCGTTGTTTTCTTGATGATTGGACATGATCTACAGAAGAATAGACCTGCATCAAAATCCAACCAGAATATAGAGATGTCCAATATGAACATCATGGCTTTTAATCAAAAGAAAATCAAGAATTTTAAGTTTTGGCAGAAGCAATAGAATATATGCAATTTTCGACATGTACTTCTGAAGTGAATCACACCCAAAATAAAAACCAACACATAATGCACCTGGAACCAGTATAATGAATATAATAACTAACAAGTCACCTAGAAATAACAAGCAGAATTTAAAAGACACTGACATTTGCATGTGAGTCTACCTATTGTGGTCTAAGTAGACAAACATGTTAACACGCACTAAATGATTTAAACCTGAATCTGAAATGAGCAGACCTAAATGAAACCAATCTTTTTGATTACATATGGTAGTCACATAGGATCATGACGATGAAGCCCAAAATATGTAATTTTTGTACAAGAAAATTTAATGGCATTATTCGTAGCAGAAAATTATATATCTTTCAAAAAACTAAACCCACTTCAAGGAGGCATTCACAAGTTATAGCTTCCATTTATTTAATTAATTAATTTACTTTTATTGGTGACCATGATCACCACATAAATTTATAATAAAAAATAAAAAAATAAAAAAACAAAATTTCTATACATGGGGATTGGTTGGAAGGCCTCCTCTGTAGCCAGTATACCAAAAATTGTTGTTGGCAGATTTGCTTTAATATATAAACTTCCCCGACCTTCAGAATACATAACAGATTATGTGCTCTAAATATTTCATATTCTATATCCAACCAAATATGAGAGCATGCAGGAAGTTTGTTTATTTGATAAGTAGAACAATGTTGATGAACTCGGGCATTTGAGGAAGCCCCTGACCTCTGGGCGACAAACATTTTGTTTTAGGGGTGTCGAAAGGCCTTTTTTACATCCAATGATATAAGTGTATACCTTTCAAGTGGCTGTTGGGCCATATTGGAGAACAAACTAATGTTTTATGGCCTAATAAAAAGACTATGGATTTACTTTATATGACACAAAGCCAACTCCAGCTACCCATGGTTAATAATTATCATCCTTCAAGTGAAATAAGTCCAAATAGATGGGGTTTACTTACGAGGACCCACATGATATTGGGACCCAAATGGTGAGATTCTCAATCTCGAGCAGTTTGAGTGGAGACCAGAATTGGAGGGATTGGATTTTTCTACCATCACAAAGGAGGATACCGATTGGTTAGAAAGACCATTTGAGGAGGATGAAATTAAGGAGGTGGTGTTTAGTATGAATCATGATAAGGTCTCATGACCAGACGGTATCTCGTTCTCATTTTATAAAGCTTGTTGGTAGGTGATGAGACTGAATATTACGAATGTTCTTACTTATTTTTCTAAGTGTGGCAGGCATTTAAAAAGTTCTAATGCTACATTTATTATGTTAATCCCTAAGAAAAAGGGAGCGACTAAAATTAAGAATTTTCGCCCTATTAGCTTAGTCAGATTATTGTGAAAGTTATGGCAAATAGACTAAAGGAGGAGTTAGGGGAAGTGGTGTCTAAGTTTTAGAATGTTTTTCTGAAAGGACGCCAGATTTTGGATTCTGTACTGATAGCAAATGAATGCATTAACTTAAGATTGCGCCTAGAGATTCCAGGGATGCTATGCAAACTCAATATTCAGAAGGCTTATGATCACGTGAACTGGGAGTTCCTTTTGTATATGCTTAGGCCCACGTGAACTGGGGGTTCCTTTTGTATATGTTTAGGCGATGTGGCTTTAGGTATAAGTGGTGTTAGTGGATTCAATTTGTCTCCCTACCATTTTGATCTCAATTTAGGTCAACAGTACCCCTGACGGTTATTTTCGGAGCAACAAAGGTTTGAGGCAAGGGAATATATTGTCTTCATTATTGTTTGTTATTATAATGGAGACCTTTAGTAGGATACTTGAGAAGGTTGTGGGGGAGAATTTGATAAGGGGCTTTATGGTTGGTCAATTGCAGGTGTTCCGCTTGTATTTGCAAATGACACACTGACTTTATGTGATGCAAATGATGAGTAATTCAACAACTTGTGACGCTTGCCCCTATTTTTGAAGCGGTGTCTGGATTGAAGATAAATCTGGAGAAATATGAGACTATTCCAGTAGGAAAGGTTGCTAACGTGGAGGAATTGACTGAAATATTAGATTGTAAGGTTACGTAGTTGCTTATGTCATATCTAGGGATCCCTTTAGGGGGCACAATTTAAAAGTATAAATGTTCATAATGATATTGTGGAAATGGTAGAGAGGAGATTAGGGGGTGGAAGAGTATGTACCTCTCAAAGGGAGATCGTCTTATTCTCATTAAATCTACTCTCTAATCTCCCTACTTATTTTTTTCATTGTTTCCTATTCTTGTTTTAGTGGCAAATAGATTAGAGGGGATTCAAAATTTCTTTGGGCAAGGTTGGGGGAGGAGAGAAAACTTCGTTCGATTAATTGGAGAGTTGTTTGTTCTACTATGAGAATGGGGGCCTCGGATTGATGAGCCTTGTTTTGTTTAATAAGGTCGCAAGTGGCTGTGGCGATTTGGAGTAGAGAGTTTCTGGAGAGAAATCATAGGGGTAAAGTATGGTGCGATAGAGGGGGGTTGGTGTTCGGTCGAGGATCGTAATTTTTATGGGGTGATTAAGTGGAAGTATATCCGATGAGGATGGAGGGACTTTTGAGATAGATTGAATTTTGTGATGGGGAATGGTAATATTATTAGATTTGGGGATGATTTTTGGTGTAGAAATCAACCGCTAAAGATAGGGTTTCTTTCCTTACATCGCATTGCTCTGGTGCCCTTTGCCACAGTGAATGACATATTAGCCATTCACAATGGGAGCTATAGCTAGAATATTATTTTCGGGAAGGGTTTGCACGATTGGGAGTTGAAAATGATTATGGGCGATTTTTTAACTCTTTGCATAAGATGCAAATCCGGGTAGGGCAGGGTGATCGTAGCAGATGGAGGTTGACACGGGATGGACACAAGGTTGACAGAGGATGGTATTTTCAGTTCGTACTTATTTTAAATCTCTTTTGGGATCTGCGAAGAGTTCATTCCTCTGGAAGATGGTGTGGCAATACAAATTGCCTCCACGTGTGGCATTTTTACTGTGGACGGTTATGAGGGGCAAGTATTAACGGTGGATAATTTTCAAAGAAAAGACTTCTATGTAAACAAGTAGTGTTATATGTGAAAGCGATGGGGAGACGCATAAACCACTTGTTTATTTATTGTGATCTGTGAAACAGTATTTCAGCTTCTTAACATATGGACTGGGTGTTGGCTAGGCACATAGAGGACGTGTTGCAGGCATAGATGAAAAAACTTTGTGATAAAGGTAGCAAGCATTTATAAGATATTATACCAGGATGCATTGCATTGCATGGTAGGGCTGAAAGCAAAAACCGTCAAACCAAAAAATCGAACCAAAATCGCATTTAAGAAACTGTTGGTTTCGTGCCACGTAGACCAGGTCAACGAAATGATTCTAAACCGAACCAAACCAAACCGAACCAGTCAAACCGGGTTTGAGAATTTTAATTATGATTAAAAACCAAATCAGACCGGCGAAAAAATATATAAAAATATAAAAAATGAAATTGTTTGAAAAATCATCAAAATATGTAAAATTCAAAAGTTTTGTCATTTGTGGGTATTTTTGTCAATTTTTAATTTTTTAATACAAATATATTAGTATTATCCAATAATCCTAATTTATATCTAATAATCTCAAGACTAATATAACCTATCAAAAGCCCTTTTCCTCTTCAGAATTTAAATGCACTCCAGCCCACACCCAACACAGTCTTTAGCCACCGGCACCAACACTTCTTTTTCAGATTTTTCAAGCTTCTTCAAAGTTGAATTGAAATCCATTATACCGAATCGGAGACAAAGAGATCCTAGACCTTTGGTGATAATATTTGCTACGAATAAAGTTTCAGATCAATAATTTTTTTGGAGCAAACTAAAGTAAGAATCTGAAATTAAATGCGTTTTGTAACGTCATACAAACGTAAACTCGTATAATTGTTATGTTTAGATATTGTAAACAATTACTTTATTATTGAGGTTGGTTATTCTCTTTGTCTAATCAGTATCATTTTTTCAAATATGATGATCACGAGATCTTGTTGGACATCATTATGTTTTTTGGGCCTTATATCTATTTTAGTAGACTTGTATTGAAACGTTATTGTATAGTCATTAGCCTAAAAAAGGTGAACAAAAATGAAAAAAAACTATGTTTTAGTTTATTATGATTTCACTTTGATTTAGTTAGTATTTAAATTTATAATAAATATATTAGTTTGTTTTAGTACCTGTTTGAGCCACATTCTTTGAAAAAATATATTTTTCAACCGTAATTTGATGTCATTTTTACCACACATTCTTCAATAAAATAATATTACACACAAATTCAAAATTTTTCCTCATTTTTTAACCATATATTCTCTATCAATCTACTATTTTAAAATATATCCTTTAAAAATAATGTGACTCAAGCACACACTAGATTCATTGCTAGTAAGATATAAATATTAATTGAATTCAATGAATTAATGACATATATGGCGAAACCAACTGTTTAAAATCGGATCAAACCGTTAGGTTTAGGCTTGAGTTTTTTTCAAATCGTTCAAAATGGTTTAGTTTGAGTTTAGATTTTTCTCAAACTGGCTTAAATAATTTGGTTTGAAAATTTGTCAAAAGTCGGTAAAATCGAACCGCTTACACCCCTCTTCTATGGTGTGTGCGTGTGTAAAGAGAAAGGTATGACCGATGTTTTAAAGATCAAACACGGACAATGGAGCAAATCAATGAGTTGTTTTATCTAACTTTGTATATTTGGTTTAATGCCAGTGGCCGTTAATTCGACAAAAGGGCTACCTAACATCACATTGTTTCTTTCTTGTTTAAATCGAGAATACACTTCTTGTATGCACTCTTTTGATTAATAAAATTATCAAATTTACCTATAAAAAAAGTCCAAATAGGAAATAGAAAAAGGACACAAGACCAGGCAAATCCTTTTATTTATTTTGAGTTCTAATTACCATTTATGCTCAAAAGATAATGACATTATTTTGTATCAATGATGAGGAATTATATCATGTGAACACTTTGATTGTTCATAAAATAGAAGACCTAATTTATAAGCCGAGGAAAGAAATAGAATAGAGGGCAGTTTGGACATTAAAGTGTTTAAAGTTAATTGTATATATTTTTCGTTCATATGTTAAGCTAAACTACTATTTGTTTTGAATTTCCTTACGATATGCTTGTAGCTTTGATGTTGTGGTTGTTAAGGATCCAACTGCAATGAATCTTTCAATAGATTTATTTGTGGACCAAATGGAGTGAAAGAATTGATTCATGAAGCCAATATCACATTTAATACGAAAAAGGTAAGTGGACAATTAACGATAAGAAAGCTTCAATTCGTCCAGCCAGTAGGTGGGCAATGTGCTTATCTTGGGTAACAAATACTACAAAGCGATTAGCACTTCTACGTAGACAGTTGAGCGACATGACTAGGGAAAGCAATGCCTTTGTTTAACATGCTATGGTCTCAACACCCTTATGAGGTAGGTGATGAGTTTCACCAGCTTCAAGCCTAGTCAACGCGTGGCTAGGAATCGATGTTGTGGGTGTTAATGATCCAATTTCATCTTATCTTTCAATAAATGCAATAATCAACTCTTTAGGAGCATTAAACATATCCTTTTGTGCCTTTTTTACCAATAGCTTTCCATAATTTTTCAGATTTCAATATATTTCTAAAATTACTCATATTTTTAAAATTTTCTATTTGTAAAGTACTTTAGAATTTGAATGTTTGAAAAGGCATATGGCCCACTGCTAGCCTTGTTCCTTCACCTAACCGCAAGTAAAATCCAGATCCTTGAGGCATGGACTACAGAACTTCTCACGCATCATTATAGAATCACAAACACATGAACAACCTTTGTATTCTCATAGAGAAATGAATTGTCAATCACAACTTACAAGGCATGCAATGAACTTCCAGCTAAAGTGCAATAATGCAAATACCAATTTCCACCAAAACAGCATGTTCATGGAAAATAAAAGGCTAGTTTTCGTAGGAGACATGCAGCACAGTTAAACATCCTTAGTAACATTTCCATAATTTTCTTACATATTGATACTTATCTTAATGGTTCATTTAGCGTTTCCACTGCTGGCCCCACAAGCAAAGAGGTTTCAAGATACCAGCAACCAAGTGAATGTAAAGGGATCCAAGCAAATCTTCTAGATCTAGACAAACCTACCCTTTTCTTCTCTCTTCTTTTCCTTACATCCCAGGTCCTCTACCGAATTTTCTCCATTTTGAGTGACGTGAAGAACTGCTAAAAGAAATGAAACCCAGGTATCTAATAGTTATCAACTGGCTAAATATGGTCTGCAGGAACCAGAGTCCACATTCATCTCTCTCTGTTTATTTTCATTTCTTCCTTTGAATTTGTCTATTTGACTTAGGAGAATAACTATATGGAGACACGGCATTTATGTTTAAAAAGAGGAACAGAAATATATATTCCAAGTGCGTTCATTAGAAGCAATGGAAAACATGAAGAAAATACTGCCAATATAGTAACAAATAGAAATTATGATGAAATTATTGTTGCAACTAAGGAAACAACATAATCATAAAAACAAAAGATTATTAATTTTTGACACAAAGCTAACTAAACAAAACAACATGCCGCGGGTTTTGCATAAATAATGCCACAAGAAAACCATCAATACGAAGTGCGATATTTCTATAATAATCAGTATACAGAGAAGAAACGCCCAAAAAAAAAAAAATACATGTTTCGACAGAACAGTACTAATATCGTCATATTTATACGAAACCAAACCGAACCGCAAGGCGAACACCTTAAACTGAAAAACAAAAACACGAAAAGGAGAAAAAGATGCACTGACCTTCACTCCAAAAAGAAGTACGTCCAAAAATATATAAACCCTAGGATTCCCTAAACAAATTAAAAGCAAGTATACCAAAACAAATGAATGCACGTATACGGACATAAAAAATTAAACTCAACAAAACAAAAATTCATAGAACGTAGTTGTAAAAACACAAAACCTTTCAGAACTGACGAGAAAGCAAGGATCGAACTCTTCCTGAATTCGTAAAATAAGAGGTTTAATTAAACAATTGAATTGAATTTATTAATTGATTAATTCAGGAATTTCCTTGTAGGTAGATCGCGATAGGTCTCGAAGAGGGAAATTTATGTGCATATATCTGGCAAATTCTATCCACCGGTTTTCACCGACTGTCCAGACTAAGGAATAGGATTGAACGATACAGACAAATCGTGCTGATTTTCGCGTATAAATAAAATTAGTTAATTTCACTAGTGGCCACCGATTTTATGGAAAAATTCCATATTGGTCATTGAATTGTAAAAGTATAGAATAAAATCCAATAAACTACTATTCGACTTGATGATATTATGAATCTACTCCCGACTATTTTTCAGCTCTTTGTCGAGCCTTTCATTATAGATGATAATAAAAGATTTATAATCCAGATTACAAACTTAGTAAAACGAAATAATTATATAAATCGATCATTTTATAAGACTTATACTTCTACTTTTTGTACAAGACTTATACTTCTCATTAAACTTATTTTATGATTTGTTACATGATAATTTCAATCACGCATTCACACAAAAATATATTTTATATATTCTCCCAAAAAAAATTTCTACTTTTTAACCATATACTCTTCTAGAAATATTATTTAAAACTCATTTTCTCTGCAATTAAAGGAAATCAAATAGGCACATAATTTCACGACGAAATGGGTACGAAGATTATTAGGCAATGTCAGTGTTTACTGGGCTACATCAAATCTAGAGTAAATGCTGTTAAAGAAGTGACCAAATATGTAAAGTTAAATCGATTAGTCACGGAAATTTTTAATGACCAATTTAAAATTTTACATGAAATTCAATTACCGTTTGTGAAATTGACATAAATAATATTATTAACGTCAGTTTGGTGCATTGCCCTTGCTAGGCCACCAATTACCATTGCTCGGGGTTTTGCTAGATGAACAAGGGCCATGTAGGCCCTTTAACAGCTTTTCCCTACTGCTTGTTTTCTTGTGGATCGCTAGCCCCGACTTAAACTTATGAGATTGAGAGAGATGGGAAAGTACCGTTGTATAGATTTTATTTGAAAGTTGTAGGAGCATACTTTCTTCATTTCTTCTGTATTTGGAGTCTAAAGCTATGGTATCCCAAGTGGGAGGAATAAGCGCAATAGCCCTAGAGTCCCCGACCCCGTCTTTAAGAAAAAAAAGAAGCTAGGTCACAAAATGGTTACTGATTAGTAATTATATAGGGAAAATTTTCTTTTTCCTTTTTTACTTCAAAAAAGTTAGTGGTTCCATCTTATTTTGGGAAGTAATACAATAAGCCCTTATTTGAACCTCATTCTTTGGAAAAAAAATTGTATGATTGAAATGACTTCAAAACATTGTTTAAGTATTTTTTTTAATTCTTTTTTTCTTCTCCCCAAAGAATGGGGTGTTGGGAATTCACTTAACATGCACAGCGAAATTTAACAAATTTCAATTCCCATTCAAGATTCAGTTTTGTATTTAGATAAAAACTGTGATAAGAAATATACCTTTTCTTGTAATTTGCAAACTCCTTCGCGTTATTCCTTTCCAGCAGCTTGAATCTGCCCCCCACAGCTGTCCAATTATCCAGCCTCCAATGAAATCCATACAGAGAATAGACTGCAACTGCTAGGGTTTCTCTCTTGTGCTAGCAAGAATAATGAAAACCCTTTTTGGACCTCAAACCCTAGCTGTGTATATATATAAACCCAAACGGACCCGGCCCGGTCCGGTCCAATATTTAATTAATTCGGGATTATAAATAACAAATTCAATTAATTAATTTATCCAACGATTGTTAAATTAA